ATTAATCCTGTTATTAAGTATTCGTCAAATAAATTTTCTTGATCCAAGACGGTTGAATTAATATTTTCAAAATCTGTATAATATGCAGTATTAATTTTACCAGGTTTAAGGTAAGATATTCCAGCTTGTGCTAAAATGTAATCAAGTGACAAAAGATTAATATTTCTCTTAGATTGTGGAAACAATGGTAATATTATATCTGTAAATATCCTGTTTGCTGCTAAAGAAGTAAGTCTCGATGCTTCGCCATACTCATTTTCAAATGTCGCAGTTTGTAAATTGGACAATATTTCCTTAAACAAAATATCTAATTGTAAGTTTTGAGTTTTGCGAACAACCTCAGCCAAGAAGCCATAAATATTTCCATATTTATTAAACACGAGAGATTTAATAATGTGGTCAAACATGGTATTCACAAAAACTATGTCAACATTTTCGCTTTCTTCTTCTCCATACAAGTCGCTACCTTTTAACAAATATCTAATTAGTTTAAGTTTCATTGTTTGATTATTATGATAGTCTTCTAAATAATCATAAAGTGCATTAACAACTAGTATTTGTTTGTTTTGATCAACTTCTGACAAATAGTTTTCAATGAATAAGAAATCACTGAGTGCGTATAAGTAGCTACAGATAGATATAAACTGTACTGTTTCGAGTGGATTTGTGTAGGCTATGTTATCCATTTTTTAAATGTAGTTCCTTATATTAATATACTTTTCCATTTAATGTTTTGACTTCTTATTGTTAATATCAGTAGAAATAGAAGTAAAATAGTTGGGATACGTAAATCAAATCTGTTGAAAATTTAATAATATATATTTATGCAATTAAAATCATACTTTTGTCTATGTACATTGATTGAAACATAAAAATTAATGCATAATATTTTATTTTAAGTCTGTGTAGATATACAGGGTGTTCCAAAAGTATGGAAACTTTCAAATATCTCGAAAAGTACGAATTTTTGTAAAAAATCTTCAAGACAAAAGTTGTTCCAAACAAAAAGATGTACATCTTTGAAACCAAAAAATTGGGCCCGGAGCCCAATGTTGGGCCCTATAATGAAAAAAGTGGTTTTCTTAAATGAGACCACTAATTTTCAGTATCAAATTCGTAATCCCCAGGAAATTCTGCGTTGAGACATGTGGTATAAGTGCCCAAAATATTGGGCCTTATCCAAGATATTTGGTCCAAAATTTATCAACAGATAAATAAATTTTAAAAAATCGCATCTTGGAGGGATTTTGAGATCACAGGATAAAAAATTTAAAGCTACTTTTCAAATTGGGCACAGAGCCCAATGTAAGATTTCGCAGCCCAATGTGAGGCAGTAAAAAAATTAGTTTTCTTCTATTTCGTAATCGTTATGAAATTCTGGGCTTAGACTTGTGGTACAAATTTCAAAAATATTGGGCCCTCACATTGGGCTGCAAAATCTTACATCGGGCTCTATGCTCAATTTCTAATCCTGTGATCTCAAAATCCCTCCAAGATGCGATTTTCTAAAATTTATTTATCTGTTGATAAATTTTGGACCCAATATCTTGGATTGGGCCCAATATTTTGGGCACTTATACCACATGTTTGAACACAGAATTTCATGGGAATTACGAATTTGATACTGGAAATTAGTGGTCTCATTTAAGAAAACCACTTTTTTCAATGTAGGGCCCAACATTGGGCTCCGGGCCCAATTTTTTGGTTTCAAAGATGTACATCTTTTTGTTTGGAACAACTTTTGTATTGAACATTTTTTACAAAAATTCGTACTTTTCGAGATATTTGAAAGTTTCCATACTTTTGGAACACCCTGTATATGTAATATAAATGTCGCAGTCTTATTGTGAAAAACCCCATTTCATGAAGTGTCACTTTTTGAAATAAAATTATTTTATTCAGTATTTATATCTTAAAAATTATTTATTAATCAGTAATTATTTATATTTTTTAGAGTTAATCAACGATACAAATAATTATTGCAAAAACTATTTTAAAATACTGACTAACTATGTAATTGTAGAATTTAAGTCAAAAATGTTACAAAAATCTATTAATTCTACTATTGTTGAAAAAATTCTTTAAATGTTTATAATAAAAATATTTTTATTACAAAAACTATAATTAAATTGATTGCGATTAACTACCCAATTATAGAATATAATATAAGAAAATGTTTATTTGTATACCTACTAAAAGTGGTACTAAAATTTAGAAATCCCAAGATTGTTTATAAAAACCTTTAAATTATAACAAATGATTAATAAGTAATAGTAAATCAAATGTACGATAAATCGTTTACTGCTGCTCATAAGGTATAGTGACCTGTATTTTGCAATTCAAAAGCGTCTAAAAATAAAATAGAATCGAATACTTGAAGTCAAAAAGTCACATATCACCGAAAAAACTGTGAGTTATTGCATGTAACAACCAACTACCAGAAACTGTTACAACCTACCCCACAGCAAAAGTTTTTAAATTAATTGATATTTCTAATAATGTGTCATTATCAGTAAAATTTAATATGGGTTAGTGAATAGAGATATATATTTAGAAGCTTTATGCACAAAAAAGTAAAAAAGATAAGAAGATTATGAACCAAAAACTTTACGAAAATGATTTTTATCGATTGTCTGTCAAAATTGACGTAAATCCTAAAAATATTTTAATTCATTGCAAAAAGTCAAATGCACCAAAAAAACTGACTGTTAATTCTTACCTCTGTTACAACCGACCCCTCGCTCTCCTACTAAACTTATCACAAAATAAATTTTCTTCCAAAAAGTGTGACTTTATGAAATTAGATTTTTCGCAAAACCAGTAAATTAATAAGAAATTTATAATAATGCTTGCTTACCTATAAACTTTCAAGCGTAGAAATAGTCACCTTTCAACTTCTACTTCATTTAAATATATATAAACGAATTGTTGGAAATTGCACAATTTTTCTAATATATACTATGGTGTGTTAATATTACGTTTCAGTTTTGTTGATACAATTGTAACATTGAAATTTTAATCTTACTTTGTAAATATGAGGCATTCTATTTCAAACCGTACCACCTACAAAAGACGTGTAGATCTTTTTTCATATAGAATTTATTTTATTTAAAAAACTTTATATATAAACACACTAAAAAAAAGTAGAATTTTTACCCCAAAGATGGTATAAAAATTAAATGCAACAAATTTTACCATATTTGGGGGCGCCATCGTCTATATATGAATTAGCATTAGTTAAAATTACCCGCAACAAAATTTATCCAGCGTTGTTTCTATGAAATGTAAATAATGCTTTGAATAGAGAATTTCACAAGCTTTCAGATAGTAATAAGCTTTTTTTAAAAAATAATTATTTCTTATAGTTTAATTTGTATTTAAAAACTTTAAGTACTGATATCTTAAAACTAATCTTCAATTATGTTGAAAATTGCAGAAAAAAAGCTAAGATTCTCAAGTTTCTTCCATCCAGAGATTATAATGGACTTTTTAGTGGATTTAGAGAAAAAAATTAAAATATAAAATTGTTTTTTATTCAATTTGACATAGGAAACGTAACCCTTTTGAATTTCACATCTCAGTCGAAATAATATGTTTTTTTCTGTTAAAAAAAACATTTTGTCAAAAGTTTTTAGCAAAAATATAATTTAATAATATATATATAGTTATTATTAAAAATATTATGCATCTTTTATTATATTTAATTATATTAATAATATAAGTAACAACAAATTAATTATCATTTTCAATTTTATTGCAAATTTTCAACGCAAAATAAAAGTAACAATTTTTTAAATTATTAAGAAAAGTCAAATGTTTACGATTATTAAAATATTAATTAATAAAATATTAAATATTAAAACCGTCTTTAATTTATCTTCGACAAGACGCTCTTTTGTTGTTTTTTTTAAACCGCTGAAAATGATAATTTTAAGGAAACAGAAGGCTTACTATACGCACCAGGCATAGACGATTAATGTAAGCATACTTTTTTTTACTAATAAACTGCTACCGAATCTTTAAACGCGATTTTCTCAAAACTACATTTTCAAAGTTTCGGTAAACTCCCCAGCAAAAAGTATTTAATCGATTGAGATAAAAATTTAATGTTATTCTTGACACATTTAAAAAGGTCTGATACCAATAAAACAATAAATTTTTTAATAACAAATTAAGTTTTTTAAACAATTTGTGATGAAAAAAAGACGGTTTTCAAAAAAATTTTCACAAGTCCGACATTTTATTTTTTTTTGTTTAAAAATGTGAATTTTATTGGTATCAGACTTAGATTTATGTCTGTAGAACAATAATATCTTTAGTTTTTTCATTTTGGGTGACTGCGAAAGGTCCTGGAGTGTACCGAAAAATTTCTGTCTTCTTCGAGAAGTTGATTCGACGTTTAAAATTATTAACAAATTAACATTAATTATTGTAAAAAAATTTTGTTTACATAAATTAAGACGACAATAAAAAAAAATCTAAATTTTGTAACGATCGCTTTTTATTTACCCGCTTAAAAAATTCGTAAAAGAGCATCGACTTTCGAGCGTCACACCGTACTACTACCTTAAGTTATAATTATATTTATTATATTATGTGGTAAAAAAAGACTATAAAAATTATTAAAAATTATCCTGTTTTAGTAACTACAACTTAAACTTAATTTAATCGTTAATTAAAGTAATACCCCGGACTTACGCGATAGGTGAGACCGAGCAACGACCGTGTAAGTCGAATTCGCGTAAATCGGGGTTTAAGTTTTCATATAAAATAAATACAATAATTTAGAATTTAGAAGAAATATGTTTAATAAAATATCAAGTAATAAAACTATTTACATTTTTATAAACGAAAACAACATAAAAAACAATAATAAATTATTTATTAATTAATTACGAGTTAATTCGCTCATTGTGGGTAAATTCGCTCACCCACTTTTATGCTTTATTTCAGCTTTAAAATAAAGTTTAATACCTTTATTACCAGGTAAAAATGTTAAATTTGTTAATAGAAATACTAAATTTTAGATTAAATCAAATTTAAAGCAAAAAAATGGGTGAGCGAGTTTACCCGCACTGAGCGAATTAACCCCGTATTACAGTACCAATGACGTATCTCCAATTTTATTAATTTTAAATTATTAAATATATAATCATTGTTACAAGTTTCTGAAAGATTTTATTTTCTCTAAGTTAACAATTATAAAAATATTTTATAGTTTAGACGAGATTCGTGTAATTTCTTTCATAATACTAATATTCCATTCATATTTTTTTTTACTCATGTTATTATACATTAATTCTACCACCAAACAGTCACCAATTTTGGTAAAATGCGTTTCCCTAACGCTTACAATGGAAAATTTAATTCCAGGTAGAAGAATTGGTGTTATTTCATTAAAATAATGAAATTGTTTTACTTTTGCTCTAAAGTAAGGTTGAGTAAATTTAATTTTATATAAAATGTTTTTATAACCAGGCTTTGCAACAGTAGCAAAATTAATAGCTGACACGTTAGTAGTGTATGTTGTCAAAAATTTTTTTAAAGTATGTATTTTTCCTAATGTGAATGTTCTGTCGATAATATCAATAGGCATGGTTTCAGTTCTCCACAAAATTTTTTCAAATTCATTATCTGGATCGTCTGATTGTCTTATTGCTAATTTGTACAAAGCAATTTTCATAAAACTTGCCTCATGTGTACTATCTGTTATTCTTGTATAACCGGTTGTGACAAAATTTCGAATCGCATAGTAATCTTCAAATGAAACTGCATAATTTTCCAGGTGCAAATTGAAATCTTTAATTATTTTCTCCATTGATGTACCACTTTCGATTTTTTGTCTATCTCTAAAGTGATAAATGGAATCAATCTTAAATGTTCCATCAAAATTTGTTAAAGTATTAACCTCAAGTTTCAAATCATTTTTTAATTTAAAAAATAGAGCATGATTTTCAATTATATATTGTTTACCCCATTCTGGCAAAGTTAAGTTTGTATTATTTACCCAATCCTCCACAAACTTTAAATCCATGCGACCTTCATCTGGAAATGCATATAATTTCATTGTTTCCAATACCAGTTGTATTGAAAGATTATCATTTTTTGTCAAAGCAACTTGTATACATTCAGTCATATGTCGTTTTGTTTCCTTCAAACCTTCAAACAGTGAACATTGCAAAATCTTTGCTAATTCAAATTTCTCCTTCAAGTCTACGTAACATTTTTCGTTCTCGTAAAAATACTTATATATTCCTAAAAACTTAGCTGCACTTATACTCTTTCGTAGTAGATTATTAATTTCAAAAATGTAGGATTGTTCATGTTCATAATTATCAATCTGTATTATTGAATACATTTTTTCTCCATTAGGTTCAGTATGATTTAAAGACAGAAACATTTTCTTATTTGTTTCAAAATCTGTTCTTAAATATGCAGTTTTATATGGTTCTAAATAAATAAACTTATAACCATAACCAGTGTTAGTAATAGGGTTTTTACTTTTTATGTACAAAATTCGTTTTACCCTATTACGCAAAATATTTATTTGTCTCGAAGAATTAGATTTAAAAATTTGCATATTATGTAGATTATTTTTAACACTAATAAAGGGATAAAGCTTTTTGTTTTGTAATTCAGAAATTTTTAAATTTAGAAACATTAGATTTTCATTAGTTATTGATTCGATTTCAAATCCAGGTTCATCTAAATGCAATGACAATTTTTCAAAATGTTCCATGGTATTTGTATTATTTTGTAGTTGTATTGGTTTTTTTGTATTTAATTTGAATGTGTAATCACTTAATTCATCAGTTATATTTTTCAAATAAATTGTTTTAATAGTTGTACCAATTGAGGAGAGTAATGTTCGCGTTTTTTCTTGAAATATGAATAAAGATGTATTATTAGGTAATTCATTAAAATACTTTATATCATCAAATCCTTCTACATATTGAATGTGAGAATTATCCAGAGCGTTTTCTATGTTTGACTGATAAAACGGCACCAATGTTAAACCAAATTCCTTCCACCAATCACCTTTTCTTTGATCACTATCAGTAAATGATAAATATGATTTAAGTCTTAATTTTTTATACGCTATAAATTCTTTCCAAAATACATCTAAAGACTGATTAGCTAATTTTAAATGTACACGATGAAATCGATGATTCAATAATGTTTGAATATCAACACCAATGTTTTCTTTAAAATTTTCTCTGTTATCAGCTATTTTAATTAAAGTTGTTAAATAATTTTCCCGCATTAAAGCATAATATTCTGTGCTGTCATTTTTAGGGTAGTAAAAGTAAAACAAATCATATGGTAATCGTGTAGTATTATCAAAAATGCCAAGCACAACATTATCATTTGGAGCTAGTAAATCTATATGTACATTTGCAGATTTTAATGATTTTAATAAAGGTTCTCCAAATGATTGCTGAATTGACTTTAAATCATGCTTTTCAAATATTTCACCAATTTCATTTATATTATTCGTAAACGATTCAGACAAGCTTGGTAACATAAATCCCCTCAGACATTCATATAATAGCGAAACAGTTGTTAGTTGAATTGATCCTGTTGAGATTAAATGTTTGCAATGAATTTTTAAAAGATCTTTAAGGTTTGCCAAAAGTTTGTAAAATTTTAGAAGGACTGTGTGCAATTGGTAGTTAGTATCGTTTACCAATTTACCTGCTACTTCATCATAAAACGCATCAATATAAGAAAATAAATTTTCGTAAGCTGCTTCCCAGTAATATGGATCATAAATTATATTTGTTTTATTTTCGTTTTGTACAACCGTTGTCGAAACATAGACTAAAAGAGCTGGTAAAGCAAATGCCCGTAAATTTGATAAACTTCTGTTGTTATTTATTAAATTTTTTCTTATTATTAATCCTGTTGTTAAGTATTCGTCAAATAAATTTTCTTGATCCAAGAAGGTTGAATTAATATTTTCAAAATCTGTATAATATGCAGTATTAATTTTACCAGGTTTAAGGTACAATAATCCAGCTTGTGCTAAAATGTAATCAAGTGATAAAATATTAATATTTCTCTTAGATTGTGGAAACAATGGTAATATTATATCTGTAAATATCCTGTTTGCTGCTAAAGAAGTAAGTCTCGATGTTTCGACATACTCATTTTCAAATGTCGCAGTTTGTAGATTGGACAATATTTCTTTAAACAAAATATCTAATTGTACGTTTTGAGTTTTTCGAACAACCTCAGCCAAGAAGCCATAAATATTTCCATATTTATTAAACACAAGAGATTTAATAATGTAGTCAAACATGGTATTCACAAAAACTATGTCAACATTTTCGCTTTCTTCTTCTCCATATAAGTCACTACCTTTTAACAAATATCTAATTAGTTTAAGTTTCATTGTTTGATTATTATGATAGTCTTCTAAATAATCATAAAGTGCATTAACAACTAGTATTTGTTTGTTTTGATCAACTTCTGACAAATAGTTTTCAATGAATAAGAAATCACTGAGTGCGTATAAGTAGCTACAGATAGATATAAACTGTACTGTTTCGAGTGGATTTGTGTAGGCTATGTTATCCATTTTTTAAATGTAGTTTCTTATATTAATATACTTTTCCATTTAATGTTTTGATGACTTCTTATTGTTAATATCAGTAGAAATAGAAGTAAAATAGTTGGGATACGTAAATCAAATCTGTTGAAAATTAAATACTATATTATTTATGCAATTAAAATCATACTTTTGTAAACATAAAAATTAATGCATAATATTTTATTTTAAGTCTGTGTAGATGTATATGTAATATAATTGTCGCAGTCTTATTGTGAAAAATCGTATTTCATGAAGTGTCACTTTTTGAAATAAAATTATTTTATTCAGTATTTTTTGGACATTTTATAAATTGCAAAAGCAGATTTATGAATTTTGTATAATTATATTCGATTTCACAATACATCCAAATATAAAATATAAATTTCATTACCTAGTATATAACAATTACTATTTTAACCTCTCAAATTGACGAGTCTACGATAAATCGTTGAATGCGTCTCATAAGGAATAGTTACAACGTTTGCAAAAACTGGACACATTTAAATGTGAAGGGTAAAACAGGGTCAGTTATATGTATGTCAAATGTGATTTTAATAAATTGCATTCGAAATAAGTATATTTATATCTTAAACACGGTGTTCATTTCATGACCATTTAGCTTCCTCATCATGATACACTAATATTCAAGATTAAAAGAAGGATTACAACTAAAATAGCGATCAATTTTATAAATATTAATAAAATGTAAAGTTTTTATACCTCAATCGATTCGTTTTTATGCCAGGAATACAATTTTGACATGAATTAATTAAAATTTTTATATCAGAATAAGTTATTTCAAAAAATATAAAAAACGATTATTTTCAAAAATTCAAAAAAATGATTTAATCTATAGATTTCAGTAAAATATGAACTTTATATAGGCTAATCGACTCGTTTTAATGCAAGAAATAAGATTTTTGACTAAACAAAATTAAATTCACAAAGAAAAAAATATTTAGAAAAAAATTTTTTTTTTAATTTTGAAAAAATTGTAAAAAATAAAATGTTGTGAATATATTTGAAAATCCTTGTGTCAGATTTTAGGTATTAATGATTACAATAAGCATACAAAATTTCAGGACAATCCGTTAAAACGTTTCTGAGATAATTTGTACACAATATTTTGTGACATACACACACACATACATCTGGACATTTACTCAGGACTTCATATATATTATTTCTAGATAAAAATGAGTCTATATAACCCAATTTTAATAAATCGAAAAACGTCACGAATGCAAAGCTTCCTCATGAGGAAGCAAAATTATTTATTAATCAGTAATTATTTATATTTTTTAGAGTTAATCAACGATACAAATAATTATTACAAAAACTATTTTAAAAGACTGACTAACTATGTAATTGTAGAATTTAAGTCAAAAATGTTACAAAAATCTATAAATTCTACTATATTGTTCAAAAAATTCTTTAATTATAGAATATAATATCAGAAAATGTTTATTTGTATACCTACTAAAAGTGGTACTAAAATTTAGAAATCCCAAGATTGTTCATAAAAACCTTTAAATTATAACAAATGATTAATAATTAATAGTAAATCGAATGTACGATAAATCGTTTACTACTGCTCATAAGGTATAGTTACCTGTATTTTGCAATTCAAAAGTGTCTAAAAATAAAATCGAATACTTGAAGTGATATACAACCTATACCCCACAGCAAAAGTTTTTAAATTAATTGATATTTCTAATAATGTGTCATTATCAGTAAAATTTAATATGGTTTAGTGAATAGAGATATATATTTAGAAGCTTTATGCACAAAAAAGTAAAAAAAGATAAGAATATTATGTATCAAAAAACCAAAAACATTACGAAAATGATTTTTATGGATTAATAAGCTGCAACGCTTATTATTTTAATCCAATTTTGCTTATTTTAATACCAAAGTGGATTAAAATAAGCAAAATTAAATTAAAATAATAAGCGTTGCAGCTTATTTTAATACCTTATAATTTTCTGTTTACCTCTGTTACATCTAAACTTATCACAAAATAAATTTTCTTCCAAAAAGTATCAAATTAGATTTTTCACAAAACCAGTAAATTAATAAGAAATATATAAATGCTTGATTACCTATAAATTTTGAAGCGTAGAAATAGTCACCTTTTAACTTCTACTTCATTTAAATATATAAACGAATTGTTGACTATGGTGTATTAATATTACGTTTCAGTTTTGTTGATACAATTGTAACATTAAAATTTTAATCTTACTTTGTAAATATGAGGCATTCTATTTCAAATCGTACCACCTACAAAAGACTATCGCGTGTAGAGGTCTTTTCATATACCTAGAATTTATTTTATTTAAAAAACTTTAAATATGAACACACTACAAAAAAACGTAGAAATTTTACCCTAAAATCGGTATAAAAATTAACTGCAACAAATTTTATCCTAGTTGGGGGCGCCACCGTCTATGTGAATTAGCATTAGTTAAAATTACCCCCAACAAAATTTATCCAGCGTTTTTTCTGTGTAATGTAAATAATTCTTTGAATAGTGAATTTCTCAAGGTTTCAGATAGTAATAAACTTTTTTTAAAAAAATAATTATTTCTTGGTTTAAATTGTATTTAAAAACTTTAAGTACTGATATCTTAAAACTAATCTTCAATTATGTTGAAAATTGCCGAAAAAGAAAGCTAAGATTCTCAAGTTTCTTCCATCCAAAGATTATAATGGACTTTTTAGTGGATTCAGAGAAAAAAATTAAAATATAAAATTGTTTTTTATTCAATTTGACATAGGAAACGTAACCCTTTTGAATTTCACAACTTAGTCGAAATAATATGTTTTTTTCTGTTAAAAAAAACATTTTGTCAAAAGTTTTTAGCAAAAATATAATTTAATAATATATATATATAGTTATTATTAAAAATATTATGCATCTTTTATTATATTTAATTATATTAATAATATAAGTAATAACAAATTAATTATCATTTTCAATTTTATTGCAAAATTTCAACGCAAAATAAAAATAACAATTTTTTAAATTATTAAGAAAAGTCAAATGTTTACGATTATTAAAATATTAATTAATAAAATATTAAATATTAAAACCGTCTTTAATTGTGCTTCGACAAGACGCTCTTTTGTTTTTTTTTTAAACCGCTGAAAATGATAATATTAAGGTAACAGAAGACTTCCCACACAGCACATAAAATTTCCTGAATTTGTCCTGAATATTTCATTGAAAGATTCGAAATATTTCAATGAAAGGTCCATGAAATTTTGATGCAACAATGAAATGTCCGCCTATAAGAAATATTGCAGTTCCGATTGTACGAAAAATTTCAGCGAAATGTTGAGGAAATGTGAGGATGAAAAATTACTGACATATTATTTTTTAATATTTGCAAAATAAAAAAATGACATATGTTACAAATTTTTAAGTGAAATATTTTGAAAAGATTATTCATTAAAATTCTAGAAATATCGAAATGAAATATTTCTAAATTGTTAAAAATACATATTTAGGCAATATCATCCGGATATATTTGTAAAAAATAAAAAAAATGAATTTCAGAAATAAATTGCGGTAGTGATTGTGAAAATATGTGACAAAATTTGTGTATTTAGTGAAACAGTGACAATTTATTTATTATAAAGAAATTATTACACGTAAGATGCAACAAGCGAAACATGATTAATATATATGAACAGTAAGTATAAAAATAGAATACTTAAAATAAATAAGATCCGCTCAGGTACGCAAGGATATACTATAAAAGTCAATTTGTTACAAATTTTACTTGACTGGACTTTCAATATTCGTAACTTTTTAATTGAATTCTTAATTTACTGCATAATTATAATTGAACAAAAAATTTTTTTCGCAGAATTGTCATTTGATAACATTTCTATTTTTCAGAGTATTCAAATGTTTAAAATTTAATTTGTCTAAAATTGCAAATGACAAAATGTACATATGAACCGATCGCCGGAAAGACGGCAAACGTCGATTTAAGACATTTTGAGATATGTTAACATATTTTCACAATCACTACCGCAATTTATTTCTGAAATTCATTTTTTTTATTTTTCACAAATATATCCGGATGATATTGCCTAAATATGTATTTTTAACAATTTAGAAATATTTCATTTCGATATTTCTAGAATTTTAATGAATAATCTTTTCAAAATATTTCACTTAAAAATTTGTAACATATGTCATTTTTTTATTTTGCAAATATTAAAAAATAATATGTCAGTAATTTTTCATCCTCACATTTCCTCAACATTTCGCTGAAATTTTTCGTACAATCGGAACTGCAATATTTCTTATAGGCGGACATTTCATTGTTGCATCAAAATTTCATGGACCTTTCATTGAAATATTTCGAATCTTTCAATGAAATATTCAGGACAAATTCAGGAAATTTTATGTGCTGTGTGGGTTACTATACGCACCAGACATAGACGATTAATGTAAGCATACTTTTTTTACTAATAAACTGCTACCGAATCTTTAATCGCGATTTTCTCAAAACTTTATTTTCAAAGTTTCGGTAAACTCCCCAGCAAAAACTATTTAATCGATTGAGATAAAAATTTAATCTGTTATTCTTGACACATTTAAAAAGGTCTGAATACGAATAAAACACTAAAATTTTTAATAACAAATTAAGTTTTTTAAACAATTTGTGATGAAAAAAAGACGGTTTTCAAAAAAATTTTCACAAGTCCGACATTTTATTTTTTTTGTTTAAAAATGTGAATTTTATTGGTATCAGACTTAGATTTATGTCTGTAGAACAATAATATCTTTAGTTTTTTCATTTTGGGTGATTGCGAAAGGTCCTGGAGTGTACCGAAAAATTTCTGTCTTCTTTGAGAAGTCGACTTCGACGTTTAAAATTATTAACAAATTAACATTAATTATTGTAGAAAAATTCGTAAAACAGCATTGATTTTCGAGCGTCACACCGTACTACTACCTTAAGTTATAATTATATTTATTATAGCATGTGGTAAAAAAAGGACTATAAAAATTCTTTTAAATTATCCTGTTTTAGTAATTATAACTTAAAATTAATTTAATTGTTAATTATACCAATGACGTATCTCAATGCACAAAACAATTTTATTAATTTGAAATTATTAATTATAATCATTGTTACAAGTTTCTGAAAGATTTTATTTTCTCTAAGTTGACAATTATAAAAATATTTTATAGTTTAGATAAGATTCGTGTAATTTCTTTCATAATACTCAAATTCCATTCATATTTCTTTTTACTCGTATTATTATACATTAATTCCACCACTAAACTGTCACCAATTTTGGTAAAATGCGTTTCCCTAACGCTTACAATGGAAAATTCAGTTTCAGGTAAAAGAATTGGTGTTATTTCATTAAAATAATGAAATTGTTTTACTTTTGCTCTAAAGTAAGGTTGAGTAAATTTAATTTCATATAAAATGTTTTTATAACCAGGCTTTGCAACAGTAGCAAAATTAATAGCTGACACGTTAGTAGTGTATGTTGTCAAAAATTTTTTTAAAGTATGTATTTTTCCTAATGTGAATGTTCTGTTGATAATATCAATAGGCATGGATTCAGTTCTCCACAAAATTTTTTCAAATTCACTATCTGGATCGTCTGATTGTCTTATTGCTAATTTGTACAAAGCGATTTTCATAAAACTTGCCTCATGTGTACTATCCGTTATTCTCATATAACCGGTTGTGACAAAATTTCGAATTGCATAGTAATCTTCAAATGAAACTGCAAAACGTGCATCTTCCACATTAAAATTTTCAATTATTTTCTCTATTGATGTTCCACTTTCGATTTTTTGTCTATCTCTAAAGGGATAAATGGAATCAATTTTGAACGTTCCGTCAAAGTTTGTTAAAGTAATAACATCAAGATTAACGTTATGTTTTAATTTGAAAAACAGAGCATGATTTTCAATTCTATAGTGTTTACTCCATTCTGGTAAAGTTAAGTTTTTATTTTTTACCCATTCTTCCACGAACTTTAAATCTATACGACCTTCATTTGGAAATTCATACAATTTCATTGTTTCCATTATCAATTGTTTTGGTATATTTTGATTTATTGTCAAAGCAACTTGTACACGTTCAGTTATATGTCGTTTTGTTTCCTTCAAACCTTCAAACAGTGAACATTGCAAAATCTTTGCTAATTCAAATTTCTCCTTAAAGTCTACGTAACATTTTTCGTCCTCGTAAAAATACATATATATTCCTAAAAACTTAGCTGCACTTATAGTCTTTCGTAGTTGATTATTAATTTCAAAAATGTAGGATTGTTCATGTTCATAATTATCAATCTGTATTATTGAATACATTTTTTCTCCATTAGGTTCAGTATGATTTAAAGACAAAAACATTTTCTTATTTGTTTCAAAATCTGTTCTTAAATATGCAGTTTTATATGGTGCTAAATAAATAAACTTATAACCATAACCAGTGTTAGTAATAGAGTTTTTACTTTTTATGTACATAATTCGTTTTACCCTATTACCCAAAATATTTATTTGTCTCGAAGAATTAGATTTAAAAATTTGCATATTATGTAGGTAATTCTTAACACTAATAAAGGGATAAAGCTTTTTGTTTTGTAATTTGGAAATTATTAAATTTAGAAACATTAGATTATCATTAGTTATTGATTCAATTTCAAATCCAGGTTCCTCTAAATGCAATGCCAATTTTTCAAAATGTTCCATGTTATTTGTATTATTTTGTAGTTGTATTGGTTTTTTTGTATTTAATTTGATTGTGTAATCACTTAATTCGTCAGTTATATTTTTCAAATAAATTGATTTAATAGTTGTACCAATTGAGGAGAGTAATGTTCGCGTTTTTTCTTGAAATATTAATAAAGATGTATTATTAGGTAATTCATTAAAATACTTTATATCATCAAATCCTCCTACATATTGAATGTGAGAATTATCCGCAGCATTTTCTATGTTTGACTGATAAAACGGCACCAATGTTAAACCAAATTCCTTCCACCAATCACCTTTTCTTTGATCACTATCAGTAAATGATAAATATGATTTAAGTCTTAATTTTTTATACCCTATAAATTCTTGCCAAAATACATCTAAAGGCTGATTAGATAATTTTAAATGTACACGATGAAATCGATGATTCAATAACGTTTGAAGATCAATACCAATGTTTTCTTTTAAATTTTCTCCTTTATCAGCTATTTTAATTAAGTTTGTTGTATAATTATCGCGCATTAATGCATAATATTCTGTGGTTTCATTTTCAGGATAGTAAAAGTTAAACAAATCATATGGTAATCGTGTAGCATTATCAAAAATGCCAAGCACAACATTATCAGTTGGAGCTAGTAAATCTATAACTACATTAGCAGATTTTAATGATTTTAATAAAGGTTCTCCAAATGATTGCTGAATTGACTTTAAATCATGCTTTTGAAATATTTCACCAACTTCATTTATATAATTCGTTAACGATTCAGACATGCTTTGTAAAATAAATTCTTTTAGACATTCATGTAAAAGCGAAGAAGTTGTTAGTTGAATTGGCCCTGCTGAGGTTAAATGATTGCAATATATGTTTAAAAGGTTGTTTACGTTTGCTAAAAGTTTGTAAAATTTTAAAAGAACCGTGTGCAATTGGTAGTTAGTATCGTTTACCAATTTACCTACTATTTCATCATAAAACGCATCAATGTAAGAAAATAAATGTTCATAAGCTGCTTCCCAGTAATGTGGATTAAAAATTATATTTGTTATATTTTCGTTTTGTACAACCGTTGTCGAAAAATAGACTAAAAGAGCTGGTAAAGCAAATGCCCGTAAATTTGATAAACTTCTGTTGTTATTTATTTGATTTTTTCTTATTATTAATCCTATTATTAAGTATTCGTCAAATAAATTTTCTTGATCCAAGACGGTTGAATTAATATTTTCAAAATCTGTATAATATGCAGTATTAATTTTTCCAGGTTTAAGGTACAATAATCCCGCTTGTGCTAAAATGTAATCAAGTGATAAAATATTAATATTTCTCTTAGATTGTGGAAACAATGGTAATATTATATCTGTAAATATCCTGTTTGCTGCTAATGGAGTAAGTCTCGACGCTTCGCCATACTCATTTTCAAATCTTGCATTTTGTAAATTAGACAACATTTCCTTAAACAAAATATCTAATTGTAAGTTTTGAGTTTTGCGAACAACCTCAGCCAAGAAGCCATAAATATTTCCATATTTATTAAACACGAGAGATTTAATAATGTAGTCAAACATGGTATTCACAAAAATTATGTCAACATTTTCACTTTCTTCTTCTCCATATAAGTCGCTACCTTTTAACAAATATCTAATTAGTTTAAGTTTCATTGCTTGATTATCATGATAGTCTTCTAAATAATCATAAAGTGCATTAACAACTGGTATTTGTTTGTTTTGATCAACTTCTGGCAGATATTTTGCAATAAATAAGAAATCACTGAGTGCGTATAAGTAGCTACAGATGGATATAAACTGTACTGTTTCTAGTGGATTTGTGTAGGCTATGTTATCCATTTTTGAAGATATACTTTTTTTACTTTAGCAATAAACTTTTTTAATTATTTATCACTTTTAACATTGCAATCTCTGGAAAATATATAATGTTATGTTTATTTGGCTCTCAATATATTAAGTGCCTATATAAATTATAAATGTATAAACATACAAAAAAAAATGAATTGATTAAAATAATGAAATTGTTACTATTAAATTTTAATATTAATTTTTTAATAATGTGCGATTCCAGTTGAGATTTTGACTTTTTCGGAGTAGGTTAACCGATTGCAATGAAACTTTGGAATTTTGTTATATATAGTAAGACTAATCTTTAACGTAAATTTCAGCTTAAAATATTTGTTAGTTTACGAGATTTGCAATAATAACAAAAAAATTTAAACTGCTATATCTTCCGTTCTAATAATCGGATTCAGGTCTACTTTTTTTTAAAATCTCAAGGAAAATGAGAGGAATAAATGTCTTTTAGAACAATTTTTTCTAATTTTACAACTAAAAAAATTATTAAATAATAATTGAATAAATTTCACGCGACAATCTAAAATTCAATCACTTAAACTCTAAAATGATCCTACCTGTGTTTTCTTTAATGTTCCAAAGGAATCTAATTGTAAATGCAAGTTTCACTTATTTAATTTTAATAATTTACGAGTATAAACAATTATGATTTCTGCTAGTTGACGTGCAGACGACATTGCGCACGCAGCATTTTCCTGTAACCAGCTGACGTGATTCGTGGACTAAATTGGCTACGTTAGAATGCTGCGTGCACAATGTCGTCTGCACGTCAACCTAACGCGAAATAGAGAAATAGTTATAAAATCTTATTTTCCAAATGCTTAAAAATAATTATGAAATTCAGAAGCTGTTTGTTAAATGGAACTAAATGTATTAAATATTCTAAAATTTATATTGTAAAGTTATAATTTTAAAAGTTTAAAAAATTTAAACAACTTAAAAAGTTTTGCGTAATTTTGTATAATTAATTTAGAATTGAAAATTTTACTTTTTATTTTTGTAATACTTTACCATATTGACTTAATACATTACAATTAAGTTCGAATTTTATTTTCTTGTGAAGAATAAAAAAATAAACTTACTTTGCTATTCAGAGTATTTTAGTTTCAGAAATCTTTTATAGAACTTCTTTCCTGGGTTATATGAAACCTTATGTAAATTAAAATTTAACTTATAATTCTTAGTATGTTAAATTTTTGATGTTCTATCAATTTATAATATATAGTTGTCAGTCCTTATATATACTCATTTTTAGTCAAGGTTTTATTGATTCAATTGTAATATATATAAAAGCATTTTGTATTTATTTTATGTAAAATACATATCATTATCTATAAATTAAAATATGTTTGTTTGCTTATGTGTTAATAATTAATATTGTGAAATAGTTATTTTGGAGCAAGTTATTCACTTATGAGGCAAAATTTCTGAAGTGTTCTAGTTCTAAAAATAAAAATTACAAATTATACACTGTGCTCGAAAATTGTATACCTATACTTTTTTTGGAACAAACTTGGCATATATTGTATACGCTGAATTCAATGGCGTTAGCGGTTTTTTAAGATCGGTTCAAATTCTTTAAATAATCGCTATTTTGTTTTTTTTTTTGGGCCCATTATCAAAGTACAATATTTTTCCTAATCAAACAGCATAAAATTGACTTGAAACTCGTTACTCGGAGGTTTTGGGATCACTAATTACAAATCCAATGTTATTTTTTCAAAATTCAAAATAGCGGATCCAAAAAAATGCGCCAGGAAATTTCCTACAGGATAGTAATTTGAAATAATTGATTTTTTCGTTGCCAGGGGCCAAAGAATATTGCTGTATATAGAAATTTTATGTATCGTTTTAATATCAGGTGGCTCATATGACAAATAAGAATATTTCATCAAAATTAAAATAGTCACAATATTTGTTCCAAAAATGATTAATAAAAAAAATTTTTAAGTTAAGAAAATATAAAATTATTTAGTGATTTTTTAAATATAGAATTACCCTACTTCTACATTTTTCTAATAATGTTTTCATTGCCTATATGAGTGTCAACAAAATCTTCCTCAAGTGTTAAGTAAATGTGTACATGCGTCCAAGAATGTGAAAGAAAAAATATTAAACACATTTTTATGAAATCTTATTCTTTTTTTTTTTCTTCTTGTTTGTTAAATTCTTCGTAAAATTTTGTGAAACTTATAAATATTATTTGAACTATTCATCTTTGCATTTATCGAGACCATCATTTAGGGGAGACCGGGGTTACTTGGCGCACTTTTTACTCACTCATTTTTGCTTTTTTTAAAAAGTTAATGTATAGAAAACTTGTTGTAACATATCAGCAATAATTAAAGAAAAAAAAGTTAAAATATATTTAATACTTTTATTTTTATACCACTTTATTTGAAGCTGTGCAAAGCGCGCCAAGCAACCCCGGCCCGGGATTGCGTGGCGCAGGAGTGAAATTAAAATTAAATTATATGATTTAAAGTTTAAATAATATAAGATTTAACAAAATAAGTCTTGTACTGTAATTTTACAATAAAATTATTTTAAAAATTAAAAATTAGAAAATTTCATTTAAATTAAATGAAATCGTAAAATTACCAAAAAATATTTTTTTTTTTTTGATAATAACGCTGTGAATATTTAAAAACCATTATTCGGTTAAATTTTTTGAATAGGATTGTTATTGGTGCTTATTAATGTGTAAATTTCATATAATCAACTTCATTTTATTAATATTTAACGAAATTTTCAGATAACCGCGCCACCTATAACCCCGAATGTACTTTTGAAATATTTATTAATTTTTTATAAAAACTGTTAATATAAATGAAAAAATTTTTTTTGTTTCTTAATAACAAATGTATAGAGCTCAAAACTTAATATTTGAGCTCTTTTAAAATTAATTTTTTAAAGAGATATCACAGAAAAATGAAGAGGTTAAAAAATTACTTTGGAGTGCCAAAATCAGTTATTTTAATCTATACTCCACAATAATTAATGAATATTAATAAAATTTTGTAAAAAATTACAGTTCATCAAGTACTTTAAGCAGAATAAAGAGAAAAATTAATGTAACATAACACTTTTAAATAAACTCAAGTGCGCCAAACAGCCCCGGTCTCCCCTATCCGCGTATATATAACTTCAGAAAAAAAAAGTTATTTTCTCAACTTGAATTTAAAAACCCATTTTCCTCAAGTCCTTCTCTATATAAACCGATTATTGAACAAAAAAATTTTTGTCCATAACTAAAACTTAATGTATAAGTAATAACTCCTGACTATACAATATATTTTTGTATTTGACTGGTGCAAAAAAAAATAACTGTCTCATAAAGTTTCATTATTTGTGCCATTGATTCTTTTATCTGAAGTAGTCGCATTTTATAAAATATAATGTAAAAGTTTTAATGTTATATATATATATATATATATATAGCTAACAAAAGAAGTTTTTTTTGTCATTTATTCCTGTATTTGGAAAAAAAATGTTCCGAGTATCAAATTCCATTAATAAAAGATCATTTAACTTAAGGATCACCCTGAAAGTCACATATGTAGCATATATATATATAAGTGTGTTATAGTCGAGTTGTGGATGCAAAAGAAATGTTGATGATCTTCTTTTGAAACTTGACACTAACTCGAGCGCGCCAGGAACCATAAACTCCGTGGTTTACGCACCGGAATAATCTCACAGCAATCTGCGTGGTCTGACCGAATTCCCCAAATGACAGGGCAGGTAGGTCACATATGGGGGACACACACATCCCGAAGAGATGAGATGCGTTACGATTAAAGATGTGGGCGGTTCAAGATCAAATTAATGACATCATAAACCCAATAAAATATCACCCAACTATTCAACAATACGAGCAAATCCCCCCGGGGGAATCGGGGCATCTACGTTAACGTTTCTTCCTTTTTTTTTAATGTTACACCAATTTTTCCTTTCCTTATTTTTTTATTTTTTTATTATTATTTTTTTTGGCTGATGGATGATGCAAATAACTGTTCCAATGCGCCTTGACGCAACCGACGAAGGGTCACCAAAGTCGCTCGTAGCACTTTTCCCAGCAGGTGGGTCGTTTTCGTGGCAGGTACCCAAAAAAAAAAAAGAAGACATGTGTGTATATTTAACTAACACTGAAAATAAAGTCCTGCATCTAGGCGAGGAAAAAAAAAAGTTGAGGATATTGTGTATATTACCTTTTTTTTCCTCTAGATTGACGGATCACGAAGACTAATAAAAATGAAAGCAGGTCAGTCGAGGGGGATTGAGAGAACACATATATAGAAATATATATATATATATATTTTTTTTTTTTGCGGCGGAATTCCAGTCTGTCTTCCTTCGTTGAAATTTAACTTTTAGTGACTTAATCCTTTTAGGATCTAAAATTAAATTTTCCCTTCCAGTTATTTTTATAATGATTTATTGCTGTTTGGATTTATTTTTCCTTTCAGTGCATTTTTATTGGAAATAACATTTTTGAAAATCTTCAGGTTCTTGAAATTTTTTTTTCTCGAGAATCTGGAAAAATCTAAAATATATCTGAAATTAAGTTATATAGTTATGAATGTGAAGCAAATCTTAACACAGAAAAAAACTGAGTTCATTTTTGTTACAGTTCATTCTGAATTCGATATCATAATGAACAACAACTAACTTCAAGTTACTCAAAATTGAACCGGACCCGGATCAAATGTCAGGTTATGTTAGTTTCTGTTGAAATTCAAGATTTTAAGATTATTATGTTGGCAACAACTGCAACTTATGTATGCAGCGCCACACTGGCGCAATATTCAAATTGAAATAGTAGAAATATTTTTTACTTTAATTTAACAATAAATTTGAATGATTATAGTTAATGTATAATATAAATTATTATTATATATGATATTTATAATATATAATATTATATTATAATATATTTTAAAATAGTTTAATATAAATATAATAATAGATAATATATAATAATTGTAAAATATACAAGCATTACAATCAAAAAAATGGTATGGGATAAATTTATTAAAATAAGTTTAAATAAAAATTTATATATATTACATTAATTATATTAATATTTATTTAATATTAATAATATTAATTAATATTAATACTTTAATATTATTTGATTAGAATTATTTATATATTACAAAACTGGACTGTGGATGTAAAATAATTAAATTATACATAAAGTAGTAATTATAATCTGTCACATAATAATATTCTTAAATTAATTATTTGATTATTTTTAAAATTAAAAATATTACATAATTTAAAAATATTTAAACTAAAGAATGTTATAACAATCATTACATTATTATAATGAATAACACTTTATTTTTGGTTATAGTTTCAAGTTTAAATTTGGCGCCATTATCTTTAGTTTTTAGACAGTGGCGGCGTTAAATTTCACGTTTCGTGTTGCATGGTTGGTATTTATTTCTGTCAATTCAGAAGTTTCTAACCTAAAAATAATTTATTTTGTTTTCTATAAATTCAATGAATCGGATTTAACAAATAAAGTTTTTTCAAGTGTAATCTGTTTGTTCATTGAAAACAACGATTTTTATTAATGGTTTTATGATAAAGTGCTTCTTAATTGACTATAATTGTCATTTTAATTTGAACTCAAAATGAATCGGATCTAGCTCATTTTGATGCTTTTTGCCTGAAGTTCAAAATGAGTCGGTCCACCAACTCATTTTGAACTCAGTTTTTTTCTGTATTAATTCAAAATGAAACTATGAAAAAAAGATCTTTAAGGACATGTGATTGTTATGATTTCACATGTAAATATACTTTGAAAATTTTTTTCAAAAAATACTTAATATAGATTATATTTAATATGATATTAGAAATTTCCAAAAATATACAATATTTTAAGAATCAATTTTTTGACAAAATATTAATATACTGTTTGTGAGAAAACCTGCGGAGAATATTTATAAGTGAAATCACAACAATCACATGACCTTAATCTCAACTTAATAAATAATATGGCGGAACCAATATGGCGGATATATTTTTCTAAATTCGTCGGATTTAAATTTAGAATTTTATTAGATATAATTATTTTTTTAGACAAATTTTTCATTTATCCGAAATTGCAAATGGCCGAACAAACAATCGACAGAAAGATTTCGGCACAATTTTTAAAATCCACCAATCATGATTTTCTTGATAACTTTTGATTGGT